TGGACCAAATTGGATCTTTCAACAAGACAATGCCCCTGTGCATGCCTCTAAATCAACAAAAATGTGGTTTAAACGTAAAAATATTAATCTGATGACATGGCCTGCTAGAAGCCCTGACCTGAATCCGATGGAAAATCTTTGGGGATGATGGTTCGTACAGTTTATGCCAATGGAAAGCAGTTTTCCCACAATTCGTGATTCGAAGGTAGCAGTTTCGGATGCTAGGGATAAACTTAAGATTGAATTCCTTCAGAATCTAATTGAAACAATGTCTAATCGAGTATTTAATGTAATTAAGTTAAATGGTGGTTACATTAGCCATTAAATTGTAAGAAAACTTTGCAATTTGAAATCTGTCCAGATAAATATGTAACAGTTTTTTTGTACAAGATTTTCAAAAATATTATTTTCAGTGACAAAATGTTAATGTTTGATTAAAATTCTTATTTTGCAGTGTGGAAACAGGTAAATCCATGTTATTTTTAATAAAACATTTGTCACTTAATGCAGCAAATTTGGGTTTCACTTTAATTTTTTCGTGTCCGTATAAATTTGAAACACACCTTAATGCTATTAAAATAAACAGAATTATAGACTAATTGAAAAATTAATGTATTGATATGCTTAAAGACAACTTTCAGAAAAAAAAAAAAGTAGAGTTTTGATTTTAGGATCATCATTTCATTTTCAATTTGAAGAGTAAATGGACTATTCTCAACAGACTATTTTAGAGTTAAATAGTTCAGTTGCTATTTAATCTTTTAATCTGTTACTTATTTCATATACCTCACACAAAGTTTGATATCTAGATAAGTCAAACTTCAAAATTATTTAAAAATTTAACATTTGTCATATTAGAAAATCCCATTCATTCCTTGAAATAAATTCTGACAACTATAAGTAATATACTCTCACATTTTAGGTTATTTAAAATTTAAATTACTGCATATTAGCCTTATTATTAATGTTTCCAATATTAAATTTTTAATTCTAGCACTAAGATTACAAAAAAAGGAAAGAAGCATCAGTTTAATTAAATACCTGAAGAGACTGAAAACTAAATAGAACAGTGGGATAATTTCAATGAAGTACTTTCTTTGAAAGTAAAATAACTGAATGATTAAACATATTTATAAATTGTTAATACAGGTTTTCTTTTGCCTGCTAATCAGTTATAAATTTCATTATATTTCATTTAATGGAGAAATGTTTTATCTTCTATTCAAGTTTTATAGTTTTAGAAATGTTAACATTTTAATAATTAATTAAAAAGTTTAAGTACTGACTCAAAAACGTCTTATGATTAAACATGATTTTTTTGCAAAAAATAAAATCAGTTTGTCAAGGTTTAAGCTTAACTTTTTGACTAATATTCTAACAGACATACATTTTCTTCTTACAAGGAGACCCTATGGCTTTGGGGAAACGGATTTTGATGATCTTTGGTGTAGAAGTAGTACATGTGAATGTACTACCTGTAAAATACCAAAGTGCAACACTCAAATATAATCGAGAAAAACAAACTTAAAGTTTTCGTTAGCACTGTATATATAAATTACACGTACTTCCGCTTGAGTGTGCTGTGGTGTGAGCGTTAATGCTCCTGACTTGAATGCTTGTATCCTTGGGTTTGATTCTCTTGTTGTGTATAACTTTTTTTCAGGGCTGTGGAGTTGGAGTCATGGAGTTTTAGCGTTTTAGTTAGAGTCGGAGTTGTCAAAAAATCCGCCGACTCCGACTCCCTTTTACTTACCAACTTGTTATGTATATGAAACGAAGTCAAATGGTAAGGAAAAGTCGGAGTCAGTAGATTTTTACGCGATTCCACAGCCCTGCTTTTTTTCATTCATAAATACTTATACTGTATTTATTTATTTACTCATTCATTTATTTCTTATTATTTATTTTAATTTAATTTCTACTATTCCAAAGTCTAATATTTTTACTTTGAAAACCCACCTTTGTCAAGTTGAGAGGGAGCTACTTATGCCAGGTTTGAACATGGATCTATAGTCTTTTTCACTCACTCTTTAACAGTTCGTTTCTGAATTTCAACACAAATAGACATATTTGTGCAGTGAAATTTATTTTGAAAAATTATTTTATAATTAAAAAAATTTTTACTGTTCCAAGTCTAATATTTTTACTTTGAAAACTCACCTTTGTGAAGTTGAGAAGGAGCTACTTATGCCAGGTTTGAACATGGATCTATAGTGTTTTTCACTCACTCTTTAACAGTTCGTTTCTGAATTTCGACACAAATATACATATTTGTGTAATGAAATTTATTTTGAAAAATTATTTCCATAATTAAAAAAAATGCCACCAAGAGAAGCAAGTTCTTCACGTGACGAAAAAACTGTTGATGATAACTCTTTATACAGTGATGTATCGAAGCAGTGGCTAAAAGATGGAGTAGTGTATTATGAGAGTTTACTTTTAGAAAATAATTTAATTGCAATATCATCTTCTGATACACTATCAGAAGTATTTTTTGGTATTTTTATTATTTATTTATTTATTTTAATTTAATTTTTACTGTTCCAAGTCTAATATTTTTACTTTGAAAACTCACCTTTGTGAAGTTGAGAAGGTGAAGATGCTATGCTGATAGGCACAGAATTATACAGTAATACATTGGATGTGTTGAATGAAAAAACTTTATAATTGATGACAAATTGATTTATGCCCAAGAAGAGTGTACAGAAGGAAATTTCGAAGCAGTTAAAGATGACTCATCTGATGACTATGTATCCGATGAGAAAAAACATAGAATGAATATATTTCACAGAAATATAAACTCAAAGTTTTAAAAGTACAAAAACTACAAACATTACTAAAAAACAGATATAGTCATTTGAAAAGAATGGATCATTTAAAATTATGAGAAAAGATGTTGAACAGGATGGAACTATTTTTGATAAATATCATTTGATTGATTCTTGGACGTATGACCACTTTGTCAAAACGAGACAAAATTATCAAAAAAATAAAAATAAAAATAAATAAAAAAATCAATAAATAAATGAATGAGTAAATAAAAAAATACAATATAAGTATTTATGAATTAAAAAAAAAAGGGAAAAAAGTATACACAACAAGAGAATCGAACCCGAGCATGCAAGCTTATGAGTCACGAGCATTACCACTCGCCACAGCATGCTCAAGCAGAAGTACATATAACTTATATACAATATATAAAGTGCTAAAGAAAACTTTAAGTTCGTTTTTCTCGATTATATTTGAATGTTGCCCTTTAGTATTTTACAGGTAATACACTCACATGGTGTGTACATCATCTCTACACCAAAAATCATCAAAATCCGTTCCTCCAAAGCCGTAGGGTCACCTGTTAGTCTCATTCAACTTCAATTTTATCCAAACTGGAAAATCATCACCACCAGTTGATGCAGATAAAAGACAAAGCACAAAAGAGCAAGACCAAAACCAATTGTTTTGACATACAGTAGAGCGTCGTTTATCCGAAAGCATTCCAGTCAGCAAATTTAAATTTTCGCTAGTGCTGTAGCGCTGCAATCTTTGGCTATGTCTTGGGCTAATCCAATATTTTTTTTCGTTTCTGTATGTGTTTTAGCTGGCAGCACTGGCACTTTTGTGTGGTGTTTTTCTGAGGACTGTGTGTCATGCTGAATCAAACATTTTTGATACTAGATCAACTTCTAAAGTATATTTTTTTTCAGTTTTTATATTTTTCAATATATTTATTTTGTTTGTAAAAAATAAAAAAATAATTTTTAACGACACAATAGCCACAATTATTATTTAAAAAAGTTTACGTTAGGCCTAACATCAACGAAAATTCAATGACACGCAACATAAAAAAATTTCAACATGGGCTAGGTTAATATATTTTTTCGTACGTAATCGGTTATCCGAAAAATAGGTTATCCGAACAACCCCAGTCCCCAATTGATTCGGATAAACGACGCTCTACTGTATTTTTGTAACTTTAAATTTATAAAGTTTCATCATTATAGATTTAAAGTTAAGAATTTTCATATTCAAATATACACATAAATCACAAAAATCAGAGAACATTTGATTAATAAAATTAATATTCTTAATAATTGCTTAATACTTATTTATAAAAATTTATTAAAGCACAAAATTAAAAAAAATTACTTTAAATTTAAAACATACCCCCTTCTTATGGATTCAAGAAAATCTTTATTCACAGGATCATCATATCCACGTAATGGTCCATTGCCTACACTAAATCCATTATTCCAAAGTTTTAAACACATGTCAATTGTTTCATCTGAATTAGAGGATGCTCCTGCTACAACCTGAGTATCATCAGAACTTGATCCTAACCGGTAACCTGTTCCATGAAAGATGCTGCTTTGTTTAGCTGTTGGATCATTTATTTCAACCACTTGTGCACCATGGCTATAATAATATAAATCATTATTAGCTAAAAAACTTAATCATTTAAATACACAAATAATTTTCAAATACCCTTTAGCTGCTTTAAACATTTCTTCAACAATATCATGTCCAGCTTTTCTTTTGCCTGGTCCCAAAACTTGTTGTCCACTAAAAGCATATAATAAAAATTATATTTCAGAATTTCAGAAATACCAGTAAAGATCAGAATTTAAATTTATGAATAATCACAGATCCTTAGATTTACCTTCTCTCTGAGCCACCTGCATAAAATGCCTGACCTTCCTCCTCTTCATTTTCATTACTTCTAATACTGGATAATGTAGCAAATCTAAAATTAAATTTAATAAGACACATTAACATGAAACTAAACATCAATTAAAACTAAGAATTCAAATTCAAATGTATTATGAATATATTTTAAAATATCTGTGCAATAATGACAATACCTTGATTCTGGAACTACTCTATTTGACTGAGAAAATTGAGATTGGAAAGATTCATTATTTTCTACTTCATTTTCTTCACCTTCTTCATAAAAACTTGAAAGAGCTAACTGTAATAGTTTACAAGATTTTCTTCAGTTATACAGCATAATAGGAAAATCAAACAGTATCTTAGGAATTATTATCAGATATTCATTTTGAAACTAAAACTAAGATTCTACTTTAATCTAAAAATGTCTAATAAACATAAGATATTTTTTGAAAATAGATAAATTAAATAAAAACAAATGAAATAACTTTTTAATTTTAAAATTTTGCTGGATGAGAAAATTTTTTTAATAAATAAAAATGACAGTCATTTCCAAAAATTTGGTTAATCACCTTTTATTTCCCTTCTTAATTGAAGTTTTTAGACTATTTACAAAAAATATATCCTGAGTTATCACAAAAATTGTAACTGTATGCAAATAACGTGAATTACTCGTAACTACCACTAGAGGGCCAGAAGCAGTTTAAAAGTGGATAAAATATGGTATGAAGAATTCATTGTGGTTTTAATGTAAAAAGTGTCAGAACCTAAAAGAAAAGGCTGGCACTTTGATCTTTTTTAACTTTGTGGACTTTTCTACCAATTTTTACCTGTTTTAGAAGTGTTTTCTTCATCAGAAGTTTTCTTCAAAAGCAATGTTTTAAACTGTTACTTCTGTGGTGATGTATAAAGGATTTAAAAGATAAACTCGAAAAATGTAATTTTTTGTAAATAGTCTAAAAACTTCAATTAAGAAGGAAAAAATATATCCTGAGTTATCACAAAAATTGTAACCTTTTATTTCCTTTAAAATGTTCCAGAAAAAACTTCAGGCGTCCGACCTTTCTTTTTAGGCTACATGGTCGCCCATGAAACAGTTCCTTAAAACACAGAAATAATCCAATTTAAACATAAAAATCTGTAAAAAAATTTACAAATTTTTATGTTTTAAGGAACTGTTTCATGGGCGACCGTGTAGCCTAAAAAGAAAGGTCAGATTGCCTGAAGTTTATTCTGGAACATTTTAAAGGAAATAAAAGGTGATCAACCAAGTTTTTGGAAATGACTATGTCTTTTTATTTATTAAAAAAATGAAATAACACTATTTTTTCATTTGTGACTCTCTCCATTCTGTAGGCAGTAACAGGGTCTGTTGTTGTTAGTCATATTCACTGTGAATTCACCAGGCTTACAATCAGGACATTCCAATTTTCAACACTGATTAAACACTGATCTCAATGTTCATTAATTAATTAAAAGTCGTTCCTTTTTTTCAATGTTGAAGTGGCACTGTTGTCAATGCTAGCTCAACACACTCAGCACTCAACAGATATGTTAACTACTACTTTCCAATGAATTATGTGTAATTGGTGCGACATTTGAATGAAATCCATTTTGCTGAGAATTGAATTATGGGAAGTAAGCACTTCATACTCAAAGTTGGAATGTTGTTGATGGTGTCAAATTGTTGGTCTCAACACTTATGTTGAAAATTGGAATGTCTGAATGGAGTCAAACCAGGTGATGAAAGGCAGATCACCACCTGGTGAAAAATCCACACATGTGAAAAAATTCCTGGAATTTTTCAAATGTCTGGATTTGATACTGAATTTCTAGAGTGATGAATTGATGTCCTAACCACCTCAGTCATCCTACCTTTCAAGGAATGACATTATTACGAAAAATTATTGTGAATGACCAATAATAATTTTTTTAAATACAGGTAACCCCCGTATAACACGGTAGTTACGTTCCAAAAAATTGCCGCGTTATGCGAATCCGTGTTATACGAAACAAAGAACTAATACGAAAAGGAGGGTTAGGTTCCAAAAATTAAAAAACATGCTAGTATATTTTCATAATTAAGATAAATATCTTCATTAAAATTTTTTTAAGTGATACATATTAATATAAATTAAACAATATTTTCTTCGTCATCACTAAAAACACTATTAATTAACTGAGAGCGTTTTCTTTTTGGCAAGTTATCCTTATCCTCTGAGCATTTTTCTGCATTATCTTCAGATCCATGCTTTACCTTTTGCAAAATGTATGTAATTTTAGATTGCTTGCTTCTAGTTAAAAGGTCTTTATAAATTTCCTTATATGGTGCTAAGCACTTATGAAGAATAAAGCAAGTATGGAATAAGGGGAAAACATTTGGCAACATCAGAAGCAGAAGCGTCGCGATCTGGCAACATTGAAACAAGTTTCGAGAAGGACCACCTGTATCGACAGAAGGCGAGAAAATTTACATACTTAAGTACTAATAGTTCACGAAAATAAATAATTTTCGTGAACTATTATTAGTTAAGTATGTAAAAATTTATTACATTTCCTGTTGTACGAGGGTTTTACCCAATTCTCGAACCGTGTCAGAGTGAATCCGTGCTATAAAAGTACCGTGTTATACGGGGGATGGTACCAATTCTCGAATCGTGTTAGAGCGAATCCGTGCTATAGAAGTGCCGTGTTATACGGGGGTTACCTGTATCCACTTTACTTTGATTTAATATAAATAAATTTTTTCCTTATAAAAATTTAGTCATCAATTTATATATTAAAAAGAATCAAATCTTTATAAGAGAAATAACTGTTAATTAATTTGATAAACTTGAAATTTTTATATACTTAAAGCAATCAATGCCATAACTAGGCAGATGCAGTGGGTGCACAGGCATAGATAGAGCCCAGGACAAGGGAATCTAAAATGGAGTAATAAAAAATAATGAGAATTATATTTTAAGTTTTACACTGTAGGGGCCAATTTTATAATGTTTTTAATAAAAAGTTAAAAATTAAAAAAACAAATACAATAGAAATGGTTATTTTTGGATTCACTTCTTTTTTTTTGAAAAAATCAGTCTTTCACAAGGCACATGAAATGCTAGTTATGACACTGAAAGCAATTAACATGCCACCCGAATAATCAGATCTATGTTGCTATATTTTTGCAATAGAACAAAATAGATTATGAAATTTGAACTTGAATATTAGCTCTCATATCTCAGATTATAAAACTTAAAGTCTTCTCTAATGTAGATAAATAACTTGATTTAGAAGAAAATTAAAAAAATAATAACTTATTAATTAGTTAACACTCTACAAAAAGCAACAATTATCTATTTATATAAATTAAACAATTCAATATTTAAATATTCTTCTTTCTTCCCATACTTTAACTCAGGGGTGTCAAACTGGAGGCTCATGGGCCACATGTGGTCCCCAACGCTCTGAAATGAAATAAAATGGCTTGCAGATCAAGATTAACTGATAAACATCTATATGCCAAAATGAAAATAGTTTGTTCTCAGTCTTTGAATCCAGATATTGGAAAACTAGTAGAAGGAAAAAAGTGCTGGCAAGTTTCTGGTGAAAACAATTTTAGTTCTATAAATATGTAACTTCTATAAATAAAATAAATGTTTAAATAAAAGCAATACTATGGCAATTATATATTGTTGAGTTGAATTCACTGAACTACATAATATGTTTTAATTACCCTATTTATATCCCAGCATTTTCACTTCAAATTATAATTTTAAGAAAATTTGTAAATGTGATGTGACCTGAGTGAATCTTACTAGTCACATTAATGACCCTTTGTTTAAATCAGTTTGACACACCTGCTGTAACTGATAGAACACCATATAGAAAAACACCAAGATTTTTGCATTTTTGATGAATATAATCTTGAAATCAAAGTATAATGTACTTTAACATTTAAATTTATAAATACATTTATACAAATTATACAGAATGTTAAGAAATTAGACCAACAAAATGAAGTAGGTGGTAGAGGGGATCAATACATGCAATTTTTTCCCTGGCATAGGAATTGCCATAGCCCTCTTATAAGATACAGGTTCCTAGACATTTGGTAGTGGTTTGCTGCCCTGTGATGCTGGAATGTCATAAAGTGAAGCCTGACATATTATTAAACATTTATTAAAGCTACATGTGGAATGATGCTGAATGCATGGGGAAGATGAATAAAAATCAGTGAATGGCTATTTTAATTTTCAAATTATGAAGATCACTATTTCATACAATCAATCTAATATACAAGCATACAAAAGTCAAACAAAAATCTTTAACAATGCTTCATATATATAAATAATTATCCAAAAATTGATTACAAAATAGAATAAAATGGTTATTAATGATCATACAATAACAACAACAATGAATGCAAAACTCTAAACCATGTGTAAGAACAATGTGATTACTTTATTGTCAGTATCTGATATTTATAACTAATTAAAATACAACTGTTTTGTAATTTTTTTTTTAGTATATACTGTATAATGTTTATTATACATACTAAACCACAATAGTGGTGTAACACAAGACAATTAACATACAAGTATGTGTCTGAAAAAATTTTTAAAAGCCAAATTCCTATTTTTATAGATTCCTTTGTAATATCAGATACTGTACTATTAAGTACTGATTTTGTGTAATTTGTTTGTAATAACTTGTACCCCCATACATTTAGTGAAATGTACATTTATTTTACAATTATACACTGAAGAGAAGCAAGGAAAAAAGGCCTATGCCTGAAATATATTTGTTACTTGAATAAAGTAACAAATATATTTCAGGCATAGGCCTTTAGATTTTGTAAGGATAATGTTTTCTTCCAGAGAAATAAAAATCTTTGAAGTAAATGCTCAAAATGTCCCCCATTTACTTCTATACAAGCTTTTTCATACATTAATTCTCAGACACAAAGATCAATACATTATCCTAAATTGAACCTGCTACCATAACAATGCATGCTACTAATTCTTCTTCTATTGCAACTGGAGTCAAGCCTTGTAAACAGTATCCTTCAAATATACCCAAAGAAAAAATTGAATGAAGTTTTTGATCTTGCAGAGCATTAAAAAAAGGACCTCTTCTTCCTATCCATCTCTGAGGAAAACTATTATATCTGTATGTGAGAGTTTAAACCAAAGTAAGGAAGGCCCTCCATCATAATGAAAAAATTGCTCTTTTTATGATAAGTGACACATCTTCCATTAATTCAAGTAAAATTTTCTTAAAGAAAACCAAGTAAATGCTGATATTTAAACTCAA